TGGAGAGCGAGCACATGGCACTCTCCACTCTCTAGGTAGCAGCAGGGTCTGGGGGTAGGAAGTGAGGTAGATGGGAGCTCAGGTGGGTTTGGGTGGAGAGAGGGAGGAGTCACCTGTAAGGCAGGACTCTGGGGCTGGGAGAAGCTCAGGTCTGGGGGGAGCTGAGGACCAAAGGTGGGCATGATGCTTACAGATGGCTTTTAAACTTTTTCCTAAGAAACCTACTAAGCTTTAGAAAGAACAATGAGAATCTGTGCTATCTGAGCTACCACAAACTCTTGTCTTCCTTTTCCTATAGCTCATTTTGGGAGAAAGCTCTGCTTTAGAGGGCAGAAACAAGAACACAGGGCTTCCTCCTCAGCTTCCAATCAAGAGATGGGGTACCTCAACAGAATGTGAAGGCTTCAAATCTACTTGCAGAGTCCAAATTGCTGGTGCATGTAACCTCATACACAGGATGAAAAGCCCTCCCTCAGGTGCACAGACTGAGAATACTCAGGTCCTAACCACCCTTACTGTAAGGTATATTAAATAGGTAGGTTTCATTAGGTAGCCGACGAAGAGAACACCATGTGCTATTCAGGTAGGAAATGAAGTTTCTATACCGAACTGCTGCCCCCACCACGCATGGTGGAGAGGCATGGCAGAAAAGGAAGGGGGCAACCCACCCCTGTCCAGAACTTATCTAGGCCAGGGACAAGAAGAGATGTGGCCAGATGGGGGAAAGGTGTGGCCACACTGGATGGGATGTGACCTCAGGGTCTGTGACCCTCTTAAAGTCAGATGGGAGGAATGTGACCAGAAGTGGCCCAGGATGTGACCTAGTGGGAGGGGAAGGTGACTGCTTCCAGGTGTGCCAGTTACCTAGGTAACAGATACTGGGCAGAAACTTAGCCAAGAGGTAGGGAGGTGTCCCTGTGTAGACCTTATGCTTACCACACCTTGCTCATGTGGCAGAGGTTGCACTCCAGAAACAAGCCCAGAACACCCGAGTCTGCTGCTCTACCTAGAGCCCAGAGCGGTGCTAAGACTGTGTAACAGAGGTACCAGGAAGGCAGTCCACAAAAATGGAGAACTTGGAACTCTCACCAAAAGAACTGACTTTATATGAAACAGAGCACAAGGGATGTTCAAGCCTAAGGTCACTCTTAAGAGCAAGAAGCTAATCTATAAGCTATTTAGTTCACCAGAAACAACAAACAAACAGGAAAGGAGACAGCTGTTAGGAGACCCTCCTGGGTGGAAAAAAAAAGTCAAGGACTGACGTCACAAACTACCTCTACCTGTGTTGAGTCTGGTAGGGGAGCAATTTATGCCACAGGGAATCAAAACAAACAACCAACAAAAAATGGAAGAAAAACAGCAATTAATCAGCACTCTGCCCAACTGAACAGCTGTATGTGATACCAAAGGGGCAAATAGCTTAACAAGGACATTCAGAAAAGAGCCAGAGACAGACAGTCAGTCCTGCTGAAACCATTATTACCCTGATGACTTGTGAGAAGGTCCAAGGCTCACAAGAAAAAAATAGCCAAGTTACTAAACAATCAGACAACAACAAAAAATGCTAAGGTGGGAAATGAGTGAGGGGCACCAGTATACAGTTACTACAATATATTACTTAAATTGTTTAGATTTCAACCAAAAAAATGAATCATGTATAAAAAAAAGAAGTATCACCCATACAACACAGGAAGACAAGAAGCAAGCAACTGAAACTATCTGTGAGAGGCCTAAGACATCAGATTTAACAGACACTTCAAAGCATCTATTACAAATATGTTCAAGGAACTTAAACGAATTATTATTAGGGTTTAAATATGTTAGTAACAAAGGACTATATAGCATGATTCAATTTAGATGAAATGTTCAGAAAATGCAAAAATCACAGAGACAAATTTGGCTAGTTTCTGCCTAGGGCTAACAAGAGTGGAATTGGCTATGGGGTTTCTCTTGGGGAGTGATAAAAATGTTCTAAATTTGCTTGTGATGATAATTATGTATCTTTGTGAATATACTAAAGACCATTAAATTATACATTTAAAATAGTAATTGTGCTGGGTGCTGGTGGCTCACACCTGTAATCCTAGCTACTCAGGAGACTGAGATCTGAGGACTGCGGTTCACAGCCAGCCCAGGGAGGAAAGTCCATAAGACTTTTATTTCCAATTAACCACCAGAAAACTGGAAGTGGTGCTGTGGCTCAAGTGGTAGAACACTTGTCTTGAACTGAAGAGCTTAGGGAGAGTGCCCCAGGCCCAGAGCTCAAGCCCCACAATCACCACCAACAACAGAAAATAGTAATTGTATGATATATGAAATATATAGATACATATTATATATAGACTTATATTAAAAGATAAACACTACAGACTCCAGATAAGAAAAAAAATAAAGAAAAATCTATGTGAATTCGATGACAGTAGAATAAAGATAGGGATTTGAGAGCAATTAAGGAGAGAATCCGTCTAGTTTGAGTAATTCAAATTTAATATCAATTCCTTGAGAGCTTTCATGGTAAGAAGCTAGTGAAGTTCAGTCATAAGTGGTTCCTTTTCCTAAACCTAAAGAAATATATCAAAACTAGGGGAAAAAGTTATTGTTAGCGAAATGAGCTCCCTTCCCATAGCTTAGTCCACTCCTTCCCTTTGGCACAGTTTAGCATGCTCCCTTCCTAGGCAACACTAGGCCCATGTAGTAAAGGCAGTAAATAATCAACTTCCAACCCCCTTTACCTTGGGGTGGCACTTCTCTGGGGCAGCTATCACAAGAGCCCCTTAGAGTGGCCTTCAGGTCTGGGCAGCTGCAGGACCCTTAGCTACTACTTGGATAGCAGCCATAAGTCCGCCATGATGAAGCCCTTGGCCCACACATCCACACCAGGGTCTCCACCTCCTAGCACCTTCTAGCTCCTCCCAAGCCTCCTAGGTTATATAGGTCACCTCAGACAATAGCAGGTGCTTCTTCTCACTTCTCCCTTGTGAGAGTCTTCCCAGCAATAAACCTTTCTTTGTTCTCTGTACCTGGATGTCTAAATGGTTCTCTGGCAAAGTCTAATAATCTTTCATTTAATATTTCAATTATCAGAGGAAGCTGAATAATCCTAGCCTACGATAAAGTATTTGGTCACCATGTGGCAGTCAAATTACACCAGGTAAAATACTAACATACTTTCCAGATGGTTGCTAAATAGATGCCTTCTGGAACCATCTCTAGAAACTCCTAGCTGCGGTAAACACCCTGGCCTCTCCTGCTAACCCCTACTTTCTTCTGAAGAGACTTCTCCAGAAAATAAAAGGTTAGTATCTGTCATAGGGGGCCAGATATAGGGGATATTGCTAGGACACTATGGCCTGTAGTTGTAACTGATGATCCTCTGAAAAGGGGAAACTGCCATAGTCATCTTTCTAAGCCAGTGGTGGGACACAGATCTGCCCTCCCACAAGCTAACCATTATACACTCTTACCTCTGGTTTCTGGAATGTTTTCTGAGGCTTTTCTCCATAGTATGTATGTGAATTTTAGTAACAGCTCTCTGAGTAACTGGAAATACTAAACTTTACAGTTTGTTATTGCTAGATGGATCTTTTCCAGCATATTGTTTTAAAATAGTAAAAAAATTTTTACTTTTGAAAGTTTACTAGAAAGTTAAAAATCATATATCGGATCCTCATCGTATTTCTAGTGCCCTGCATTGCCTCCTAACCTTATTCCTCTAGTCATTTATCAAATATGTATTAGTACATATGACTTGTAATATCCTGTGTGATGGTCATGGAGAGGCACTACTCAAGACTGCCAGGAGCTTGCTGTCATCCAAAGCTGCCATTGTCAATGCTGAAGCCATATTCTTTCCCCCAGCTGTTGCCTTCCCTTCAAGCCAATGGCTAAGGGACAGATGTATGAGTGCCAGATTTTTCTACCTGATATGGGGTTCCTCCAATGGGCAATTTTGACTCCTGGTTGGTCTGGTAGGACTTAATAAGGACAGCAATCTAAGCTCTTCTCCGCCTCTTTCTTGTTCCACAGGTGTCAGACTGACAATTTAGTCTGAATGATCCCCTGCCCGCTCCTAACTTTTAATTCTGATTTTACACAGGTCCTTCTCCCAATAAATCCCTTATGGTGATAGGAAGAGAAACAGGAGACCAGTATGGCATCCTAGGACATGATAATGTCTGGAAATCAAGGAGAGACAACCAGTCAAGAAATCTGAGGGCTGAGAATGTGGCTTAGTGTCCACATAAGCAGAAAAGGCCGGAAGTGGTGCTGTGGCTCATGCGGTAGAGAGCTAGCCTTGAGCTGAAGAGCTGAGGGACAGCGCCCAGGCCCAGAGTTCAGGCCCCACGACCAGGAAAGGAAAATTCTCGGTGCATCTTCTATCTATACACCCTCTGAGAGGAACCATTCATTCATCATTCGGCTTAAAAACCATCAACAATCCATTCGCTGTTTTGTTGTTTTGGTGTGGTTCTTGGGCTGGGCCTCCAGAACGGGGTGCTGTCCCTTAGATGTCTCTGCTCCTGGGCCTTTTGGTGGTTAATGGGAGATCAGAGTCTCTCAGCCTGCTCACTGGCATCCTCAGATCTCAGGCTCCCGCCTTGCCAGGATTACAGTCCTGAGCCACGGAAGCACGGCTTTCCATCAAATTTATTGAAGAGTTTTTCAAATATGTCTTCTGAAGGTTCTAGCAAACTGCTTTAGTGTAACTATACTACCCACTAGCGCGGGTGTCAGTTTAAACGCCAAGCGTTTGGCGCCAAAATACAGGCTGAGACGTATTCGGAGAGACACTTCCTCAAAGTCCCGCCCACTTTCTTCACCACGCCCCCTTTCTCACTTTTCATTGGATCGCGTGGCTCCGCTCCACCGACGGTGGCCAGAGACAGCTTTTGTGTGCTGAGCCGAACCAAACGGCGCGCTTCTCTCTCCACGCCCGCAGCCACTGAATCCAAGGCCCAGACATGCGCACTGAGTCTGCTCCCTAGGAGCCTGCGCAGAGCGGCGAACGAGGCCGGAAGCGGGAGCTTGTGCGGGGAGGTGGGGCTGCCGCGCGGGCTGAGGGGTGGGCGAGCAGGCGACATGTCGCTCTCGGGGCGTCTCGTGGTTCCCCTGGTCGTCTCGGTGCTTTTGTGTTGTGGGGCTCCGCGGGCTGACGGACGGCGGAGCGACGTGCGCGTCATCACGGACGAGAACTGGACGGAGTTGCTGGAAGGCGAGTGGATGATAGAATTGTGAGTGCGGGGTGGCCGCGGTCGGCGCGGGCCGGGCTCCGCGGGGCCGGGCTCCGGGCCGTGGGCCTGCGCACCTGCGCTCGGCCTTGCCCACCTTCCCCTTGCTCAAGCCGCCCCCCCCGGACCCCGCTCGTCCTGTCACGGAGCGGGCGCCCCGGCCCCCCAGTCCCCACCTCCACGGGGTCCCCCCCCGTTCCACCTGCCAAGTCCCCGCTGGAGTGTCGAGGCGCCTCCAAGCCTCGAACTTGCCTCCTTCGTGGCCTTGAGCGTGGGGTGAGATGAGGTGGGTGGGGGTGGGTGGGGGCCCGTTACCCCCCTTGACCGTATTATATGTAATTGGTTTGTTTTGGGGGTGATCTTGAAGCGGATGGGTTTGTAGACTTAAATATCCGCCAGACTCTTCAGGAGAGCCCGGGTAGCACAGCCTTTCCTCAAAGCCTTTGGTCTCTCCCTAGGAAGTAGGTTGGGTCTGTTTGCCCTGTTAGCATTTGGGGCTAGTTGTGTATGTTTATGAAGTAGGTACTTTTGTAAGAACATTGTTTGTGCCTGGCTGAAATCGGGCTACTTTTAAATCTTTTGTTTCCTCGTTTTCTCCCCGTTACTTGCTTCCTTTCTCTTTCATTCCTCATCCCGGTTTTCCTTCGAGTGTGTGTCTTTTGCAGTGTAGAGAATGCTTTGAATTGTGACCCGTGGGCCTTTGCAAGTGATGCTGTATTAAGAGATTAATATACTAGCATAATTATGATAAGCTTTTTAAGGGCACCAGGTCATCATTTATTGTCCCCCCCCCAAAAAAAAAAAGCATGTGTCTTGTGTGACGATGCTACTTTGTCTTTCTGCTGTGATAGGAAATAATCTGCTTTTGTTTTAGATAATAAGCTAGTGATGGTAGTGAAAATAGTGTTGATATGAGGGGAAACTAACAGAGGATATAGTAAAAACAACAACAACAAAACACCAGTATTGGCTATTAACTGTGTACGGGACACTGCCAAGCTTATTACATGTCCTACAAATTCTCCCTGTGTAGTAATTTCCTCCTTTTTACAAATGAGAGAAATAGATGTCTAAATACTTACCTGACATGTTCAGATATTTCTATACTTTAGGCTTATACTGTAAGCATGTAGTTATTGTGTGATATATCACACCCTTTAACAAGGCTTAGGTATTTTCTTGTATTATAGGTATAGTTGGGCAAGTGTAAGTAGACATTCCCCAAGGAAGAACCCAGAAGACTGAATGAGAACTCCTGAATAGTTAAAAGCACTCCCACCCCCCACACACTTAGAACATATTTATGGAGGGTAAGATAGAAGAAAATGCTTATTATGCATATGGTCTGCAACTCTGAAATGAATTTACATGTTGTGTTGAAGGGGCAGGGAAGAGGAAATAAAAACCAGTGATAGTATTTTTCCCCCTTTTGGTCATTGGGCTTGAATTTAGGGTCTGGGCACTGTCCCTGAGCTCTTTCACTCAAGGCTAGGACTCTACCACTTTCAACCACAGCTCCACTTCCATTTTCTGATTTCCATTTCCAGTTTTCTTGTGGTTAATTGGAGATAGATTCTCAGGGAGCTTCCTACCTGGGCTGTCTTTGAACCGTGATCCTCAGATCTCAGCCTCCTGAGTGGCCAGGATTACAGTCATGAGCAATCAGTGCCAGGCAGATACAGCATTTTTTCAGTCATTGTTGTTATTTATATTTAGATTTTTCCCATAAAGTATGTAGTTATAAACAATATGTTAAGCACTCATGACTTAATTTAAATATAAATACAGAGAAATATTATTCATTTTAAGTTCTTTTGGTCAGAATAAAAGCAGCATTCATGTACTAAGGGGAGTAAAACAAAGTACTGGATAATCCAAATTAACATCTAACCTGAAATTGTAATCCAGAATGTTTTTCTTTTTCCTTGCCTACAGATTCTGACTTTTAAAGAAGTTTTCAAAGCATAAGAAACAACTTGAAAAGAAAGGATATCTAATCATCTGTTTTAAATTACAAATGAGGGCTGGGAAGGTGGCCCAGTGGTAGAGCGCTTGCCTTGCATGCTCAAGGCCCTGGGTTCGATTCCTCAGCACCACATAAGCAAAAAGAAAAAAGCCGGAAGTGGCACTGTGGCTCAAGTGGTAGAGCGCTAGCTTTGAGCTGAAGAGCTGAGGGACAGCGCCCAGGCCCAGAGTTCAGGCCCCATGACCGGACCCCCCCCCAGAAAAATAAATAAATTACAAATGAATTATTTCAGAAGAATCTATTTCTGATTAGTTTTATTAGAGAGATGTTTTCATTGTTATTCAACTTACTGTTAAGGAAATTGGCTTGAAATACAAGCTTGTCTTCTTTTATATATGCTATACAAATTATAAGAGAATACAAAATAAAGTGGAAAAATCCAAATTAGAAATTAGGACCTGGGAAGATAACAAATTTCAGAGACATAATTAGAATGCTAATATGGTTGGACATAGAATTTTTTAACTCAGGGTCTTAGAAACTGGTCCAAAGTTTTGTTTGGGGGTTAGGTTATGAAGTAATATTGTTACATTTGCCAGGTGCTGGTGGCTCATGCCTGCAATCTTAGCTACACAGGAGGCTGAGATCTGAGGATCGTGGCTCAAAGCTAGCACAGGGAGGAAAGTCTGTGAGACTTTTATCTCCAATTAACCACCACAGAACCAGAAGTGTTGTTGTGGCTCAAGTGGTAGAGTGCTAGCCTTGAGCTGAAGAGCTGAGGGACAGTGCCAGGCCCAGAGTTCAAGCCCCCTGACCAACAAAAAAATTGTACATTTTTAGCTGTTCTATATATAAGTAGACCTTCATCATAGGTCAACTTTCTCTTGTCATTCTTTCCCAGAAGTATGATAGCTTTAAGTTGAAGATTGTGTTTTCTTATTTATCAAAGCCCATGGCACCTTATGTTTTTTGAGTACCTTGCATTTGTGATGGAAGTAGAAAAATAAAACTGTCAGTGCTGATGGCTTAATGCTTATCAGCCTAGCTACTCAGCAGGCTGAAATATGAGGATTGTGATTTAGCTAGCACCAGTTCTGTAGGCAAATCATGGAGACTCTTACCTTCCAATTGACCAGCAAAAACCAAAACTAGAGGTGTGACTAAAGATAGAGGTCCAGCCATTAACAGAAAGAACTCACTGAGAGTGCAGGGCCCTAAGTTCAAGCCCTCAAAGTATTAGAACACACATACAAAATAAAAAATAAAGTAGGTGATTTCTAAAAGAGCCTTGAGTTTCTTGGTTTCTGTATCTTAATAGAAAAATCCAAAGGTTTTGAAAGATCTGTTTTTCATGTGGAAAACCTTATATCTTAAATTTTCTCTAAGCTACTTTTTTTAGTTAGCATTATTATCTTGATATCCAGATTGTTAAACTATACTTAAAACTTTCTTTCATCTACATAAAATTAACTGCCGTTATTTTCAGTACATTTAAGTAAAAAGTTCTCCATATATTGTTTACAATATTCTCGTACTACTTTATATTTTATCCTAAGTTACATGAACATTAGAGTATTTAACTTTTTTAAAAATAACTATATTTCTTAGTTATGCTCCGTGGTGTCCTGCTTGTCAAAATCTTCAACCAGAATGGGAAAGTTTTGCTGAATGGGGAGAAGATCTTGAGGTTAATGTTGGAAAAGTAGATGTCACAGAACAAACAGGTACTGTAAATCTGGTTGATTCTGCTTTCTTGCCAGTTCTCTTTGTATTTACTTTATTTTCCACAGTGCATACACTTACATTATGTTTTGTAAACATAATAGTCTGTAGCTATTTAAGGTAATAATGCAATTAGATAAGCCCACTTGACCTGTCACATTGCTGATGGACACCCAGAGTGCATTGCCTGCTAAAGGCAAATTCTTTAGTAATGTATACTGCTCTTTTCTTGTATGTGTTGCTCTAAAGGACTGTGGAAATATTACCCTACCCCCATTCTTGCCCATGTAATTTCTTTTTGTGTGTGTGTTCCTGGCTCCAGACTAACTTGTAAGATACTTTTGAGAAGTCCTAGAACACTGTGGTTCAAGTGGACTTTGACTAACGCATCATTTCTGTCTATACATGTTCAGAATAAGGTATATGTGGTTGAGTTACCTTGTAGAGTCAGCATCACATTCTATAATGAGGAGATCTGAATCTTCGACTATGAATTCCAGATTTAATACCTATGATTTGAAGATGTTTAAGGCTCTTTTTCAAAAAAAGGTTAACTTTATTGTCTAGGTGATATACAAGATGGTTATAGTTACATCCATAAGATAGTGAGTACATTTCTTGTAGAACTTGTTACCCCCTCATTTTTCTCTCACTTTTCCTCTGCCCCCCCTCTCGCAAGTTGCACATATTGTCTTGTGAGTATTGCTGTTGGCTTAGTTTACCCTTTGTCATTTGTCTCACCATTTTGTTGTTCACCTTCCCTAATTCAGATAAACATTTATACAGTACCCAGGGCACCAAAATCAAATATAGTGACAACAGGGGATAAACCATTGGGAAAAAAACAAAAGAAAAAACAAATCACAGAGTACATTAAAAACAACAACAATAAAGAAAAACCTCTTGTTTCCATGTCTTAGAGTTCATTTCACTTAGCATCATCTTTTTTTTTTTTTGGTATATATTTTTTATTGTAAAAATACACAGAGGAGTTACAGTTACATGAATAAGGTAATGAGTACATTTCCTATAGAGCATTGTTACCTCCTCCTTTGCTTTTCCCCTACCATCCCTTCCCTCCCAGCCTCCCCAACCCCCAAAGTTGTAAAGTTCCTTTTCAACATAGTGTCTTGTATATCTCATTGTTAAAATGGGTCAACCTGTATCCTTATTTCAGTATTTTCTTATTTCCATTCCCCTTCCCAAGTTAGAAAAATGTATATACAAGATTCAGGGCACTGGAATCAAATGCAGTGAAAACAGGGGTTATACCATGGGGGAAGAACATACAAAAGTAACAAAAAAATCACATGGTACATTATAAGCACATTAAAAACAACAGCAACAAAGATAAATCCTCTTGTGTCCCTATCTTGGGGTTCATTTCACTTAACATCATCTTATGTGGTCATATGTACATAGCTTTTGTCCTTTTCTGCTTGTCCTAGACATATACTAGTTATTGCAATAAGGGAAACCATGGGACCTATGTTTCTTTGGGCCTGGCTTACTTCACTTAATATAATTTTTTCCAAAGTCTTTCTATTTCCTAACAAATGGGGCAGTGTTATTCTTTCTGTTGGAGGCATAGAATTCCATTGTATGTATATATGGATAGATAGATAGATAGATGTGTGTGTGTATATATATATATATATATATATATATATATATATATACACACCACATTTTCTTGATCCATTCATCTACTGAGGAGCATCTGTGTTGGTTCCATATCTTAGCTATGGTAAACAATACTGTGCTAAACAAAGTTGTTCTGGTAGCTTGAGTATGACCTTATTTGTGATTGTTTGGGTAAATGCCCAAAAGTGGGATTGCTGGGTCATAGGGGAGCTCTATGTGTAGTCTTTTGAGGAACCTCCATAGTGCTTTCCAAAGTGGTTGAACAAGTTTACACTCCCACCAACAATGCAGTAGGATTCCCTTTTGGCCACATCCCCTTCAGTGTCTGTTGTTAATAGATTTCTTGATTCTAGCCATTCTAACTGGTGTGCGGTGGAATCTCAAAGTTGTCTTGATTTGTATTTTTTTTTTTTTAGCAAGATCTTATATGGTCTTAATTATAAAAATGTTAGTATTGTTGAGTCAATTACACTCTTGACGTGGTCCCTTGCTTAAGTGGTAGATTTTGCCTTTAAGGCTATTTCTTAGTGGTAGATTTTTCCTTTAAGGCTATTTCTTTCTCAGACCAGTCAGTTTTGTTCTTGGTTGTAGTTAACCTTGGTTCCTCACTGCCTTGTCCCAAATGGTAATAATAACTACTATTTATTAAACACTTACCTCTTGCAACATTTGCAGTTATTTAATTTAATCCTTAACTTTGTGAGCTATCTCCATTTTGCTGAGGTTCCAAGAAATTAATCCTCTGTCATCAGTGCCACACAGTAATATAATTAATCAAGTGCTTATATGTATCTAAAGATGTCTTCAATAGTTTAGTTGCACAAACTTAGTAATTAATATATATGTGGTGGTATGTTTTTTAAAGTTGCTTTAAGTGTATAGTTTGTATTTTCATTGTTATAAGGTCCAACTCTTTTAGCTGTTTTCATGTTCTATTTAGCATTTTAATAATTCAAAATCAACTTTTAAGTAGTCAATGATTGATCCATATAAAATCTGCTGTGTATTCATTTGTAGGACTGAGTGGACGATTTATCATAACTGCACTTCCCAGTATTTATCAGTAAGTATTTGAAGATTCAGTTATGGGAAAGGATACAGCACAATACAATTGGAATAGCAAGTCAGGCTTGAATCATGTTGAAGAGCTCAAGTAATTTCAGTAATAGTCTTAGAAAGCTTGTTTCGCTCTCAGTGGTTGGTACCTTTTTTTTTTTGTCGGTCGTGGGGCCTGAACTCTGGGTCTGGGCGCCATCCCTGAGCTCTTCAGCTCAAGGTTAGCGTTCTGCCACTAGAGACACAGTGCCACTTCCGGCTTTTTCTGCTTATGTGGT